ACTTGAATGACATTTTGAGCAATCCTCGACTATCAGACTTCCATCCAATAATAATACCAGTCTAATACAATAAACAGAATTACCATTGTATTACTATTATTATTTATTTTTAAAGTAAATATTTGGTTTAAATTAAATTCTTTATAACCTGGTCCCCAGTTACTAAACATCCACCAAGTGATGACCATTTAGAAAATACAATAATTTCCTCATGAATAGAATCTAAAGTAGTAACTAATCCACCATTCCATATATATATTTCTCCAGCATTTGTGCCAATAGCTAAGGTACGCTGAGTGGGATGCCAGCAAAACGAAGTTATGTTACCTTTACAAATATTTGGTCCAGAGTTGTGCAAATTTTCCCCCTAAGAATAATAAGAAAAATAGTACAAAATGAAACAATTGAAAACTATAGTTACTCACTAATTCATCACAAATAAGAATTTGTGCTTCATCATTTTCAGTATAAGATAATATTGCCAACAAACCAAGTTGTCGGTGATAACTTATGCCGGTAATTATATCATTTTGATTAGTTTTTACCTTATATTCAAGATATGAACTCATTTCAACCAATTTTATAAACAATTAAATGTATCATAGATTAACTATCTGTATAGCTATAGCGACCAAATTACATAAACAAAATGATTTACATTATATAAACATTTCTACTAGGTATAATGTACAACTATAAAAATTATATATGATTAAATAACATTCAACATCAAGTATGAAAATTTAATTTTACAGAATATGTTTTAATACAATAATTTTATATTATTCTATAATCAAAAACTAAAGTAACTTTTAGCATTGATATTACCATAAATCGCTGAACAATTTCAAATCAAGAAATTAGGAGACAGGCGTTAGGAAATAGGAATATATAAGGATTTCTGTATAATAAAATATTAAAATGTTAATGAATAATTATTATTTGTATTATTGTAATCATTGTATCATATTCATAAATTATATATAGTTCATAAGTTCATATTTGTTTACAAATTACAATGAATAATGGAGGGGATTAATAAGTAATACAGTGACACCAACAAGTCATAATAAAAAACCCAGACTGATAATTAAATAGATGAAATAATTTATTACTTCCAGTTACAAATAATTTATTAATTATTATGTAGCTCAAATCATTTTATGCAATAAAATTATATATTTATTATTGTAAACTTTTCATGTGCTGTTTTATAAATTGATCAAGTTTAAATTTAAATAATTCACTCTCAATAGGTTGTCCCATTTCACATTCAGTATTTTTTACAACATATTCGACATATATCTGAAATAAAAATTTAGATTAAATTAATAAAAGCTAGTGAAAAAAAAACAATTTAAAATTTCATGTAATTATATATTATAATTATTTATACTAATAATATTTAAACCATAGACCTATTAACTAATTAAAGTTAATAGGTCTATGATTTAAACAATAGTTATGTCCTTTTTATTAACTTTTTGGTAAATGATATAACATCACTTAAGTCTTGCTAGAAATAATTATGTAAATTATTCTACATAATATGTAACTTTTAGCAAAATTTTATGATACACAATTATTATTTTATTAACAATTATTAGTTGTAAATCTTACTTCTTTATATAATTGGTGTAACAAATCTCTGACATTTTTTACAGTGACATCAGTATTTAAAATAAATTTAACACCAGTTAAAGACTCATAGTAATGTAATGCATATTTACTAGTCTTGTAACACAAAAATCCACGTTTAGGGTCAAGTGGTGATATTTTAGAAACAAATGACTTGATAGAAAATAACATACCATACATCAATTTTGCTTCCTATAACATAAATAAAATATATGTCAAAATGTAATCAGATAAAATTGAAATGTTCTAAATATACTTCTTCACTACTCATGCCCGATTGTTTAAGACGATTCCAGTTTGTATGATATAATAATGTACCCATTCGATCAAAAATATAAATGTTGTAAATAGTCATAGTTATAAAATGTTTTGTTTATTTTTCACATTTTAAAATGTATATTCAATTTTGCAAGTAAAGAATTATAAAAAGTTTGTTTTTTTATAGAAAATTTTAAAACTTGAAAGATTTAATTTGCATATAAATAATTATTTTTCAGATTTTATAAGGTACTGACAACTGGGTCTAAGATAGAACAAGGTACTAGTTAGTAGTTACTTCTTATCAATTACTTACTGCTACTGATAAAAATGTATTACTACCATGAACTAAGATATACAGGACTGGACACAGAGCCTTATCAGCCGGTCAGACAATGTTACGCATTACTCCTTTAAGTGGAACCTACGCTATCTGGTGACGAATTAGTTTGTTAATGTTATTACTTAGTAATACTAAGTAACGAGTAACGACGCACATCATTAAAATATAGTGCATAGTATAAAGAATAATATTGTTCCTTAATATACCATGTATACTATGATATAGTGTTTTAATTAAATTGCAAAGTTATTCTCATAGATTGCGCCAAATCCA